AAAAAAAAAAAAAACTCAATCTAAGCATTTCTTAGAACAAGGACCAAAGTGTTGGGCATGGAAAGATGATCTAGAGGAGAAGACTTAACCCAAAATGAATCTGGCCCACAACTCATAATGCACTTCAGCATCCTAGTACAAATAACCTGCAAAATGAAACCCAATAGAATGAGTGCTTTCTCAGCTATTTGGCATAAAAACAGTGCCTGGAAGACATCTGTTTTAATTATAATACACATAAAACTGTTTATAGAGGACTTTTCCTCTTTGTATAAAATATCCAAAATAAGGGAGGATAGGTACAAAGAAAGACGGTTATGGTTTAAAAAGCCTCTGTCCCTTTACCACCAGATTCTGCCCCTCTGTTAGAATCTTTGTAGCGTGGCCTCTTAGGCCTGCCTTTCTGCAGCGAGGACTGAGCTCCAGGTACAGCTCACAAGGCACGACCGCTACTCAGCTTGTGAGCATCCACTGCCTGCTGGGTTTCTAGTGCTGGGAAACCCAGGCTCTTCATTCAAAGTGGTTTTACTTTTTCTTTTTTTTTTTAATTTTTGAAATGGTGATAAAAGGTACATAACATACAATTTTACCACAGTAACCATTTTTGAGTGCATGTAGAACCACATACATCCACGTTGCAGTGCAACCATCACCACCCTCCGTCCCCGGGACCTTGTCATCTCCCCCAGCTGAAACCCTGACCCGTTCTACACTGGCTGCTCATTCCCCACCCCCCAGGACCTACAGCGGGGCGCACTGTGATTTAATGCTGCAATATCCATGGAAGTCCATGAAGTCCTAGGGTTTTTGGTTTCAAGATAATTAGCCACCCACCTGGCTGACCCAGGTTCCAACTGTTGGCATCATAATGAAATCAATGCCCTGGCAGGCAGTGAACTCACCCACGCAGGTCTGGCAGGTGTGATGGCATTCCCCACATTTGATCAGCTCGGAATCAAAATAGGTGCCTGGTTCACAGTCTGGAATGCAGCTGCCCCGTGCAAAGCTGTCAGAAAGGGAGAAAGAAGGCATGTTGTCATATCCCTTCCAAAAGTCTAATTAAATTAAGATTTGCCCTCAAATGCCTTTCATGGGAGAAAATGAAAGTTGCAGAAATATAGCTCCCTGTGTCACAGAAAGCTCCGAGCTACTGAAGCAGGAAGAGCTGTCCGGAAGCCAGCTGGAGCTCAGCTGGACTGGATGCCCTGGGTCTGCAAGTAGGACCTCTGCCTGCAGGTGGCTGGTGGCCCTGGGCTCCATCCCCAAAGCCCCATGGCCTCCCTCGGTCCTGGTGCAGGAGGCCAGCTGCTCAGGCTTTCTCCTGGTCTGTGCTGTTTTCTCTTCACTGACATCAATCACTCTTGAATCCACACCCCAAGAGGAGAACTTGGGCACGTGTGGGTTACCCCTGGTGGCACACTGCCTCAGTCTCGGTGTCTGAGCCCTCCACCAAGTGCCAGTAGTGATGCTGTGTGAATGGGGTGACAGCAGAAGACCGATCCTGAAACCTGAAGCCACTCCTGCCTCTGCCCTGCTTACAAACTTGTGGACATCACCATGAACTTGAAATTCTGGGGTGCAGCAGGCCCTGCCCTGATGTGGCTCCTGCCTTCCTCTCTTGTCTGGTCAGTTTTCCCTCACCTTGCTTAGCGAGGTAGCCACAGGCACAGATTCTGGAGTAGCCTCGAGCTGGAGTGCCCACTCTGGGTCCTGCCCCTGCCATGTCCACGACCCCAGGCAACTCAGTGGACCTCTCTGAACCTCCATTCTCTCTCCTGTTCGCTGGGGCAGTCATGACTTCTGCATCATAAGGTTGCTTTGAGGACTAGATGAGCAAACACCTGCAAAATGTTGGAACGGTCCGCGGCCCACAGCAGCATGAGTACATGTCTGCTGCTATTGTTTCTTCAGTTCCTGAGATCACACTGTGTTTGATGCACACGTTGTAAAATGGGTCTGCGACGAGACACATCAAACACATGCTCTGGAGCGTTTGTGAGGTCAGAGAATTCTGCATTTTAGGGGAGCTGTTGGAGGATCTGAAAGGCTCTCCACATCAATGGCATACTCCCTCCCGGGACTACTCATCACGGCACCAGGGCTGCTGAGACTGGCAGTTAAATCAAGTCTTTAATAACTGACATTCCCCTGCGAGCTTCCTACATTTACCCTCTGAATAGACAGATGTCCCGGAGACAGTGGCTCGGCTGCTCTCACTATTTTAACATGACAACCATGATTTGAAGCCACAGCTTATATTGGGCAATAAAAGGGAGCTTTCTGTGGATTACGGCCGGCGATGTTTTCAGAGTCTGCCCGCCTCTCTGAATGCCTGTCGTGGCTGGAACCACTGCCTCTATTTGTGTGCGCCTGTGTCTGGGAAAATGTTTCTCGCTGTGACACCATTCCTGACCTGAGCAGGGACTTCGTTCTCCCACAGGAGCCCAGGGCACAGAAACGAGCTCCAGGGGACGCGACAAGCCCTTCGCCGACCGGAAATGTGTTCCAACCCGACACCTTCAGTTACCAGCCTGATGGGGGCGGTGCCCCTGCCACCACCCCCACCCAGGCCCCAGCTGCCGCTGCCAGCTCAATGTCGCGTTTCCTCTTTGGGGGTCTCCCGCCTCCAACACTTCATCCTTTCACTCCTAATCCTGCGTTGCCCAGATAACAGGTTTATGACAACAGGTGGGACACCTGACTCTGGGGGTCCTATGCCTCTTCCTTCTCCCGGACTCCCAGATGCTTGGGCAATGGACCCTCTACTCTCCTGGTCTTCTCCCTCACTGGGAGGAGAAAATGGGCTAAGGAGACGCTCACTAAGGCAGCAACAGTGTGCTTCCACGGAGACTGTTCCTCTGTTACTGAGACGTGACTACAAATAACACCGAACGCCACGGGCTGCCCGGAAGACTGAGGTGGTGCTGCTGGGAGCACCTGCAGGAAGTGCTCCTCAAGTTTTCTCCCTTCACTCTTTACCCGAACAATCCAACTCAGCTGGTGGATTCCAGTTCAGGCAGCCCTGGAAAGGAGGCTGGGAAGGCAGGCGGGGAGGGGGCTTGCGGGCCTCTAGCCCTCAGCCTGCAAAGGCTGCTCCCTCCAGGACTAGCAGCATCCTGGCCCCCTGGGGGCCTGTGTGGGGCTCTGCTCAGAGCTTCCCAACGGGAATCTGCATTTGAACAAGAGCCCTGAGACCACCTGGGGCGGGGAGAAAAGCTGCTGCTCTCACTGAACTTTCCCTTTCTTCCTTAAAATGCAGACCCTGGTTCTAATCCCTGAACTAGTCCCCATATAATTTCAAACGGAATGCCTAGACGGTAACTTAGAGGAGCAGCTAACATATATTTGGTTGCATTAAATGGACTAAATGCACATTTCCAAGTATTCCAGTGAGAATCATGAACCCAGCAAAATGTGTTTTATAGGAGACATGTGCTGTGCTTAGTGGAAGAGGGAAAACCGGGAAGGAGACACTACAGCTGGAAAAAGCGAGAGAGACAGAGTGACAGAGGAGAGCGGCTTCCCCACGGCCCCCTCCTGCCCGGACTTGGAGGGACACTAGTCATTGGGGTTTGGGTGCCTAAAAAAGGGAGCCCTGAGCTTCCATTTGAGCCCCTGACCTTCCAGCAGCCGGCCTGACTTTACATGAAGGGACCAGTTCCTGCTATTACCAGTTCTCCGAATGCTGCATATAATGTAAAGACTGTACCCATCATCTAACTTTCTCTCTTAAGCACCTGCCTCTGAGTGGAAATATGATTTCTACAGACTCAGAATCTTTACCCTGAAAGGCTTTGGGTCTCTGAAATTTTAGCTTTTAGGAAAAAGTTGCAAAAACTTAGTAAACCAAGAACAGGAACTCTAAACGCATAAACACTTTGCCGTTCTTCAGGCTGGAAGGGGAGGGTTTTACCTGAATCCTTCCTTACAGACAGTGCATTTCTCTGGCTCATCAACACACTTTTTGCAGCTTGGGTGACATTTAAGGCAATTTCTCTGACCTGGAGAAAAATAAGATGAGGACAAGAGAAGGGGAAAAAGGCACGCGAATCAGATCTGGGTGAAGGAGGCTCTGGCATTTCAAAGCGGGGCTGACAGACCAGCTTGCCACAGGGCATCAGCCTCCAGAATGACAGACCAGTGTGGTCATAAAACAGCCGGAGTCCACGTGGAGGCCGCAGGCCTAAGTGTCAGATCACAGGTCTCTCCCCTGTCTCTTCTGGAGTAAATTAAATTCCTCCAACCATAAATTCAATTACATTTAAAAATTAAATTAAAGCCTCCTTGAGGCTTTGCAGGTGGGCCCTTTCCCCAGGAGACTGCTATGGTTCTGCTCATTTCAGCAGGGACAGAAGCCAGCTCCTGGCTGACCAAGTGGGGATTGATCAGGTGCAAGTCTATAAATGTGACAGGATGGAGGCCGAGGATGCCTCTGAATCCCCCCCGCCCCCCATGCCTTCATAGGGGACTTTTGAAGACTTGGTAGTTACAGACCCTGAGACATGACCTACGATGCCCATCAGACCTCCGTGGGAAATAGCGGGTCACCTCAACTCCCGCATGCACTTGCCTAGGCTGCCGTGTTGCTCACTCCTTACGCACCTCCGCACCACCTTGGCCCTGGGCCTGGAAGCTCAGGGCTGCTTGCTAGGCCTCTGTTCCTCCTCCTCCTCAGGGCCCCACAGGTGGCATTACACACATACAGCACGTGCTCAATGAGGACTCCCTGGGTCAGTGAGGTGGGGATGAAGGGGCCTCCACTCCCAAACAGGCCTGGTTGGCAGCCCAGGGCAGGTGTTGGCAAAGGCTGTGAAGTGTATGTTGCATGACTATTTGTTCTGCCTCTAAGCAGAGCCTGGTTTTGGTGGCTTTGTATGTCTTTAAAGATTTCTTGGCTCCTTCCCCCAGGAATAACAGCAATGCCTTGACAGGCTGGAGCAATGACCCCTCTTGCAAAACACAGGCCCGAGAGGAGCTCTGTGGGAAGGCTGCTGCCTGCATAGCCACTGTGGCCACAAGGGCAGCTTCTGTTCATGTGCTTGAGAACTGTCTTCTACCAGTTTTACCCAAACCCTGTCTGCGTCTCTCCCAGGCCAAGGGGAGTTGGAGAAACCCTGCCATGGGGCCCTGCAACCCAAAGCCCTCACTCATCCCCCCACTTTCCCAGGCCTGGCAGAATGGTGGGACAGCTGTCTTTGCGGTTCAGGTCCAACCTGTGCCACCGCTGGTTGTGGGCCCTTTGCCCTGTCTGAGCTTCATCTCTCCGCCTGCAAGATGAGAGAGGCCCCACCCATCTCTGAGGGGTGTGGTCACTATGGGTCAAGTGTACACGTAGACTAAGTCATCTCTTCTGAGCCCAGTTACCCCGGGCCAGCAGGCTGCTCTCCATGTATGGGGAGGACCGCAAACCCTCTGTACTTCTTCAATCCCAATTTCAGCTTGGCAGCTTTTCCTGTGAGGGCATACACCAATCTCTGTAGGCTGGTGCTGGATTCCCTGACACTCATGCAGTGCACATGTCCACAGCTGCAGGTGGCCCATGGTGCAGTCTTCCTGCAAGAGTAATTGCAGGACAGACAGCAGGGCACCCTCAGAAGCTTCCCCTTTTGGTATCTGAAATCAGACTGAGCCTGAGAGCAGCCGGCCCAAGCCACCTCTCTGCCCATCCTCCATAATGGACGTTGACTTGCAGATGCATGAAATATCCTGGATTACTGGGGATTCATTTCAGCATCACTGAACTGCTCTGCCCAGGTTTACATGCGAAGCCCTAGGAACTAACAGGGCCTGGGGCTTTGATTTCTCTGTTTCTCCCTCACTCTCCTGTTAAGGGTCCTTTCTCAGAAGGACAAAGTACCCAGGAAGCAGCAGGCTGTGAAAATTCTCCCAGGAGACAGGACCCCAATCCAGACTGGGGGGCTATCTCATCATTTCTCTGCTGTTGAACATGCACTTACTTTCGTCAGCATAGAATCCGGCAGGACAGAGCATCACACAGGTGTTCATCTCCTGATGGTGATAGAGCCCACGGCGGCAAGATAGGCACTGGGCTGGGCTCCTGCCCGTGCAGGTCTCACAGCCCTTGTGGCACCGGCGACAGCGCCTTGCTGTCGTGTCCTCGAAGTAGCCCAGAGGGCATGCGCTTACGCACTTCCTGTAGGAGCCGGAGTAGGAGAGGGTCCTTCTCACTGAACCCCCCCAAGACCCCCTGGAAGCCCGTAACCCTGCTGGGTTAGGCTAAGGCAGGGCAGCTGGCTGGGAAGAAAACATTAGCTGGCTCTTCCAGGCAGTAAAACCCTGAGAGAACAAGGACCCCAGAAGTGAAGGTTAATCCACTGTCATGGTGGGGACCGGTGGGGGTGGGTTGTTTCGGTGGGCACAGCTGAGAGGTTCCTAAGTGTGCAGGAGAGGCCCAGGGACTGGATAAGAACCTGGGGGCCCCTTCCTTTCAACGTTTCCCCAGGGAGGTACTCTGAGACTGCTGTTTGGTTTCCACAGACACCGTGATGATGGTATTTGACCTGCAAAATTTCCAGCTCCACAAAACCCCACCGCTGTGCCTTGGGAGTGAACGAGGCAGCAAGAAGGCTGCCTCCGCACTGCACAGGGCGCATGTGGCTGTGTCTGCGGCCTCTGGGGCACCGTGGGAGTCATATCTGCACCCTGCACAGCCACACCCCTGCCAGGGTCCTGTGCATGGCCACATCCCTGGCTGGGCACTCAGGGATGGGTGCTCCCTGGGCATGGATGACACGGGTGACTTTTAGAACAGTACTGGCCCCTAAAATGACGTGTGTCTACAGTTCCCCAGGGGTCAGCCTTGGCATGTGCAATATGGTCCACTTTTGTTTAGCAGAACAAATAGAAAAAAGTTGATGAGCACAGACACCACAATGCCCCAGCTTCTCATTTCTCTCTCATGGACTTGAATTACTTGTGTGATTAGAACAAAACATTGCTCAAACAGAAAATTCCAAAGCAGTGAACTTCAATATAATTTCTTCTGGGGCACTACCTTAATTCCCAGGCAGGGCACCAGGCTGTAGGGGGCTAAGAGAAGGGCTACCTTGGCGCTGCGTGAGGGGCTCCAGGGCGTGCAGATGGAAGCCCCAGCCCCTTACCTGCTGGTCTTGATGTTCCCCAGGCTGAAGTGGACACAGTTCAAGCACTGGTCTGCACTGGGGCCGTCACAGCCTTCGTCACCGCACTCTGGATGGCACATACCTGAAGGAAAAAAGCATTTTCTTTCATCCATAGAGATGCCTTCTCAGTAAAGTCCAGTCCCTTGGGACCCTGTGTCAGGGATTCACAGCCAGGCAGGGCCAAGAGAAGCTTTCCTGTGGAGTGGTGGGCCAGCCCATAAGGCCGGACAGAGTCCTCACCTCCAGGGCCTCTGGCCACAGCTGAGGGCAGAGCCCAGCTCCAGGCTCCAGCAGACGGCCTGAGAACAAGGGGAAGCAGCAGCCGGCTGGGGATGCAGGCCCTGAGATGGGCCCCGAGAGACCCTAGGAGAGAGGCTGCAGTGGGGGCCAGAGGGGACAAAGCACGTGGTATAGGGCATTAAGGTCTAGGGAAGTTGTGGCCAAGTGAGGATCTGATGGGAAGTAAGCAGGAAAGACGGGGTGGGTGGGGATTCCCTACATGAGGCAGGGGGTACAGGATGGGATTCAGGACCACTGTGTGGCTGTGCCTGGTGGGTCTGGGGTTGGGGGCTGGCCTTGCACAGCAGTTAGACCCTTTTCGGTAGACCTCCTTGCAGCTTCCCTCCCTCTCTTCCTCAGTGGGGTCCACTCCATCTTCCCTCAAGTCCTGAGATCCCCAAAATCTAACTTGGGAGGCCCCTGTGTTGCTAGAAAAGTGATGGAGAGAAATGCAGGGAGCTCAGTGGACTCCAGAGAGCCTCACCCGTCTAGGTCCTTTGGTCCTTTCTCTACAGGTGTGTAGCACAACGCACCCATTTTAAAATGTCTATCGCCCTCAGGCCGACACGGCGCACGTCCACAGGTGTCCTCTTTGCCGGGTCTGTAGAATGTGACCACGGCGTGCCATTGCTGGCACTGTGGTAGGACCACCCGCCCACCCCCCGACTGCCTTACCCCCCACCCTGTTCCTCCTACTCTGGGGAAATGGCTCCGGAAAAGCGCCTGGTGTGGGGAGTGCCCAGCGGGGCATGGTGAAGGCTTTTTAGTCTTTGGAAGAAAATAAAGCCGAAAGGTTTTAGTTGTTGGAGGGGGTGGGGAATGAGTTCAGAAGCAGAGAGGAGGTGATTTGCTGGCCACCAGCATCTCACGGGCATGCGAGAGAAAGACAAAAGTCCCCGTTGTCTGCCGCCCACAATGGAGCTTTGCTGAGGTGCACAAAGCCCTCTTCATTCCCTCTAAAGGGCCTCCAGACCTTCCCAGTGTTAGACCCTGCTTATTTTGTTTCCCTCCCTGAAGGTTCACCGTTGTTTATATTTCCAGAGTTTTCATTGTGAGTCCCCCTTTCAAAGCCACATTCTTCCCTGCGGTCTTGAGAGACGGCGATCTTGGAGTCTGGCCTGGGCTGTGCTGGAGGTCGCGTGCTAGCACGCAGCCTGCCACGGCGGAAGCGCATCACCGGGCCAACGCCCACCCCGACCCCCTCCCAGCTCCAGACTGGCTATTTTGGAGTCAGTTCTCATGTGCTTGGATTCCTGTTGGCTTTGCCCAGGCTGTTTATGGGGATAGCCTCAGAAATCCTTGCTTGAGGCGCCCCTGTATTGAATTACCCACTGTTCAGAACAGGCGTGAGTTTGGCAACTGGGTTCTGGCCTTGTGTGGCAGCCTGGCCTGCAGTGGCGTGGAGGACACACCAACTTAAGGACCACCTGCCTTCTAGATAGATTTATCTCCAAGCCAAGGGAAGCAGCGGGCCCACCTGGCTTGACAAAGTGAACGATTTTCCTCAACCTTAAGATTTGCAGGGACAAAGAGGAGACCCTGATTTCCTCGGTCTCTCCCAGCACAGCAGACCCACGTGGCACGATCCGGTCTGGAGTGTTCGCAGCTGTATTCCTTGTACCCAGGAAGGCGTTTGGCATAGCCCAGGTGCTCAAGAAATATTTGCTGAGTGGCTGAAGTGAGAGAATGAACAAAAGGAGAGTGGGGGTGCTGAAAAAGCACAGGTGCCGTCACCAGCCACGAGCAGGGTGCTCTAGAGTGCCCCGAGATGGGGAGCGCCTTGGGGAAGGGCTGGGAGCTGGGCTTCCAGCTGACGGTTCACAGTGTGTGGACTTCACTCCAAGCACTCTCCCTCTGGGGGCTCCTCCATGGTAGAAAGGCTGGTTAGTAACCCCAAGGGGAGCCCCGAGCAAGGCTGAGTTCCATGCCACAGAAAGGACAGAAAAACCCCGAGGGGGCATCTAGGTAACTGGCTGTGTCCAGCCCCCACTGAAGCTTGGAAAGACACTGCCCGTGCAGGGATGATTGGACAACTATCTGTGGGCACCCTCCCCAGCACGGCTCTCTCCTTGAATTGTCTCAAAAATCCCAATATCAAGAGTCACCTCTCCAGGAAGACTCTTGAATTAAACCCACCTGGCTGTCCACCTTATCCTGACCATGCCATCTCTCCCAGGCAGGCCTGGCAGTTTTCAGGCACAGCTGTACCACGTTCTCTGGGTGAATGTGTGGTACTTACGTTGCCATTTGTACCTTCCCCTCCTTGTCCTCCTCCCTCCATCAGCAGGAAAGTCTCTCAGAGACCCACTGTCCTCCTATGTCACTTCCCAGAGCTCCCAACGCAAGGGGAAGGGGATTCGTGTGCTGGACCCTGTGGCTGGCTGCTGACTCCCCTCTACAGGGAGTCAGAATGACACAGTCCTTTCTGGAGCAAATCCAAGATAAAAAAATTCAGTAGGTAAACGCTAGAAAGCGACTTGGGAGCTCCCGATGGCCTCAGTCCCCATGTGCTTAGACCGGTTTGGAAGGAGAATTTAGGAAGTATCAGCTTTTTGCCTGCCATTCATGCCATCTAAGAGAAGTGAACTGGAACCCCCAAGCACACTGGTAGGGGTGGAGGTGGCTGAGCGCAGACAGGAGGTGGGCACGAGCGCAGATCCCTCTCACTGCAGGTCCGGGCTCTTGCTCGGTGGCTTGGCCTGGGCTCTGCTCGTCCTCCCTTGAGGGCGCCCTCGTGAACCAGCCTAGGAGCCGACCTGTTTCCTCTGCCACCCGAGCTCCCTGGAATCACCCAGCAAGGCCTCTGAGCGCTCCCAGACCTGCTGAATCCATCCCTGGGGTAGGCCTGCTCCTCAGCCAAGCTTCCTGAGCAATCACCAGGGCAGCCTCACCCTTGGCCAGGCTTGGTGCTCTCCAGGGCCTCCCGCTGCCCCTCAGCCACCAGGCGGCTCTGTCCTCGCAGGCTGGCCACCACGGCAGGCTCACCCCCTGCAGCACCACGGCCACTGGCGTTCCCCTGGCTCCTGCAGCTGCTGCCCTTCCTCCCTGCTGGACCCCCAGGCCCCTCATCTCCCAACCCCACCAAGGTGGATTTCCACATCCTCAGCTACTTGAGGAACCCGGACTCCACCACTACCTGGGCCTCGGGGGCGCCCAATGGCCTCAGTGCTTACGTGCCAGTTTGGGAAGGAATAGGAGTGGGCCCTGGGAATAACTGGCCGTTCCCTCTGCCCCGATTCCCAGGGAGTGATGCTAGCTTAGAACAGGGCCCAGGTCTGCCTGCCTGCGGGCTGCCCTCTCCCCAGGGCAGCTCTCCTCCAGCTCGGGCAAGGCACCTGACACCCCCACGGGAGCCCCGCTCCCTCGGGACGGACCGTCTTGCCAGCTCCTATTCTGAGGTCCTGGCCATCTGTGGGTGGCCAGGCCCCCCTCCAACCCTTGCTCACTTCCCTTCCTTAGCCTCCTGTCCCTGGGAGAGCTGGCCCTCATCTCAGTACTGCGCTGCACCCCCTGCTGCTGGCCCTGGGGACCACTGCTCCCCCAGACCCCCACCCCTTCTTGATAGGCAACTGGTCTCTGGCACGTGGGGCCCAGCTGGAGCCTCCCCTGGCTGGGCCCATCACCCTCTGTGCATCTCTGCCCATGACCAGCTCCCCACATTCTTGAGAGGCCCCCCTGCCATGCGGTCACCGCTGCAAGCTCTTGTCTGTGGCCTCTATGTAAATCTCTGCAGAAAGCTGTTTCACCCCCATGTTCACCTCTCTCTCTCCCTGGGCTTCTGCACCTGGGCTTGTTGGTGACCGAGACTGCTTCCACGGGGGGCACCCACGAGACCCGCACCCACATGCCCCTTGACCACGGAACCCAACATGGCTGCTGCCTCCCCGTCCCTACTTCTCTCCTTTTCTCTCTCCTTGCCTTCCACACCCCAGCGCCCTCCCACTCCCACCCTCTCTTGCTCCTTCCCTAACTCTGCTCTCCGTGCTGGTCCTGGCCTTCCCATCCTATGTGCCCCAGGGAGCCTCCTGGGAATCAGGGACATGTCTTATTTCCATGGAGACCCCCTATACCCGTCTAGGCAGTGCTCAGGGAAGACTGAGAAACCAGGGCTGCGGGACCATCTTACATGAGATTCCAGGATAGTGTAAGGTTAGAGTCAGTAGCAGATTTTAGGAAAAAAAAAATTCGTCCTTTATTAATAATTACTGACTCTCGCCACAGTTTATAAATCACAGGGGGAAACAGGAGATTAGTCCATACATAATTCAATGCTCCATTTTAAAGGAACAGTAGATGAAATTTAAAATTGAATCGACCATAATTTATGCTTGATATGTATGGATGGAATTCTCCATTTTGTTACATTTTTTTCCCAGAAGCTATTAGATAACACAAAGCATCAATATTCTTAGATATCACCCATCATTTATCAAGAAGCTGTAATATTTAGCTAAGGAAAATATGCCCAAACAGAAATGCTATTTCTCACAAATCACTGTGGAATGGTTCCGAGGGAAAGGAGCGGCTTCCTGCCCGATCTGCTGATGGAGGCTGCACCCAGCCCAGCAACCGGGCACGTCCCCAGCCCTCTCTGGGCTGCCGCGGCTCTCTGCTGCCTCTCTGCCACCCTGGCAATGCTACAGCTGGAGAAAAAGGATTTGCACGAGGCATCTTTGTTTCCTGTGAGGTTCTGAAGCCACTGGTGGGTAACGTCAGAATCTACTGACCTAAGTCTTGACACCCTGCGTGGGTGTCTGTTCCAGCCCTCAAGGTCAGTCCAGATCTCCACTGCTTGCTCTGTTCCTGGCTATGCTCATTCAACCCAACTGTCCTGGGCCCCATGAGGACCCGTGTCCACCCCACATTCTGGCCCCAGGGGCTGCAAGTGCATGGATTTGGGAGAGTGTCAGGAGGCTGAGATGGGAGATGGGGAGTTTGAGGAAATAAGGAGGCTCATCAACCAGGGCGCAAGCCCCAGTTCCAGCTGGGCATATAGCACCTTGGTTTCCCAGCCTGGGAAGGCTGGAGAATGCTTACTGGTCTGTATAATATTAGGAGAGCCATGGGTGGAAGGAGTCATGTGAGTGCAAATTACTGTCATTATTATTACTTCCAGAAAAGAAGGAAGACATTCCATCATGACCCCCACCTTTTGCCAGGAGCAGTCCCACATCTTAAGAGCTACAGTGGGGAAACAGCAGGCTAGCCACCTGCTCTGGCTGCAGGGCCATTACCTGTGTAGTCCTCTTCATCCTCGGAAACCTCGGCCTGGGAGGGAGACAGAGCAGCCTTGGGTGGTTCTGGCACCGGGGCCGAGAGCTCCAGCATCCGAGAGCGGGACTGATGGGCACTGAAGGTGTTGTATGGGTGCTCGGCCGTGCCGTACAAGACGAGGCTCCATTCCTTCAATTTCCCTGCAAGGCACCAAACCCACAGGGTCACCAGAGAGCCAAGAGCCTCCCTTGGCAAGCTCTTAATAACTCTGGTCCATTGACCTGGCCAAAGGCCCCCATCACTCACACACGCCAGGAGCTGCCCCCTCAGGCCCCCAACCTCCTCCCACCACAGAGACTCTCATCCACCCCCTCACTTAGCAGTGACCTGAGGACCAGGGGTGCACCCAGGTTACATTCTCTGACCCCCAATCTTGCTGCACCCTGACTGGCAACAGCCTCCTTCCCCTCTTGCAATACTGAGTGGGTAGATCTGGGACCAGACCTGGCCCTGAGCCTTAGCCTATATGGCTCTAAATGGGACAACCGGGTTACCCCAAGGAGTTCTATTTGGACCACGAAAGACTGGTTTGGGGCTCCTTCCTTCAAAACTAACCTAGGACAGGTGGGGGAAGTCTGGTGGGGTGGCAGTGGCGGTGCAATCCCATAAGCCCACAGAGGCTTCATGTAGGGAGGACAACCTCAAAGACAGGAGGATGACTGGCATCGATGCTGGATGGGCGTGGGGAGGATGGGGGCTAACAGGAGAGCACCCCGTGTGCCAAGGAGGGCTGGGGAGGAGGGAGGTAGCAGGCCTCCATGAGAAGGAGGTGGGTTGGTGTTCTCAGGTGTAAAACGGAATGGAAAGCCTGGCCTGCAGTTTCGTTGCAAAATCCCTGACATTGTAAAACACATTAGCAGCAGAGGTATGTCTGAGGGCTTGCTCGACTGCAGGCCACAGGTCCAGACTCCCCTTGCTTGCTATGTCCCGGCATTCATGGCTATGCTGAGGTCACTGCTGTCATTCTCATACAAATGAGGGCCGAGGTCCAGGGCGACCTGCCCGAGGACAAGCTGCCCACACTAACGGACTCACAGCCTCTCAGTACTTATTTAGAACTGGATTGGGCTGACACAAACACACTCATACCAGCTTTGAGCCACCTCAATGAACCCTCACGACTGGCCACCACCACCCCAGCTGGGGCAGCACCTTTGCCAGCTCACATCTGTGCTGCCTGGGAACATCCCTGGGTTCCTCTTCACTTCCTGCCATCCGGTTTCTTGGCAATCAGATGCCTTAGGTGAGGGAAATTTTTACTGATTCTTTGCTGTCGATTTGTGTTATTGTGACCTCTGTTCACACTACTCCATGTGCTTGCTCTGAATGGCAGGCCATCTGTCTTTAGACATCTGTCTATGTACTATTTTTGAGCATGGGCAGCTCTGCCAGTGTAACTATTTTTTGTTCCAATTCTGGGAATCTCTTGGTTTCCCTAAATCCTAGAATGGGTGTTCCTGCTTAACCACATACCCTGTAGGCCTGTGGGCTGTATCCACACTGTCCGAGGTGGGTGCATGGTGGACAGAGGTGGAACTGATCTTCTGCTCACCAGGCCAACTCTGGGGCAGTCCTAAATGGTGTATAACTTAGATTCAGTTATACAATGTGGCACGTAGCAGCCCTGTTTCCTTTTTAACCATTGCCTTAGCCAATCAAGGTCCCAGGCCTTGAATACCTGCAGCCCCCAAGCTGCCCCAAGTCAAGCCCTGTACCGCCTGGACTGGCCTGGCTGGGACTAGAGGATACAGGTCCTTCAACTTAAAAAAACACTTGTGAGCTATTTCCTAGTACACATTCTTCCACAGGGCCCAGTTTGTGCAAACCTCTATGACCATTTCCCTGCCCGTTCCCAACACAACCTAGACAGAGGGCGATGCCAACATGAGAAGGACGTCATAGGGCGCAGGTGCAGAAACCGCAGCCCCTGGCTGTGAGTCACTGTTGGGGCTCAGCTCCTTAGAACCACATGAAAGCTATGCTCCAAACCCACAGAGAAGTCTGGGCGTTGTGACCACAGAGTGAGGAGCAGTGATTAGGGTGGGGGCATAATGACCACATGACAGGGACCACGGGCACTGTACACTGTTATTTGAGCCGAGATTTATTTCAACCCTAGATGATGTCTCCCAAAACACCCCCTAAAGCCCTAGCACTAAAATTAGGTTCTTATTTTTAGATGCAGTTTTGGTAGGACAGACAAAAAACGCTGCTCTGAGCTTAGGATCAGCACACGCCCTGTGTGGATGGAACGAGAGTGAAAGGTTTCTAAGAAACCAAGAGAATAGATCCTAAAGATTCTCATCATGAGGAAACTACCCACCCCCTGGCATTTTTTTTTTTTTGCACGTATCTGTAAGAGATGGCAGATGTTAACTAAATTTATTGTGGTAATCATTTCCCAGTATATATAAGTCAAGGCATTATGCTGTCCACCTTAAACTGTACAGTGCTGAAAGGAAAGACAGGAACCCCAAGAACCAGTAGTAGAAGCTGCCTTGGAAGAGAGGGGTACTCAGGGGTTTTGGTTTGTTTCTAGGGGGGTGCATGATAGACTTAAGTAATAAATATGAATAACTCAAAGTCCAAAGTATAAAAGGGAATATAGCAGAAGTCTCTCTCTAGCCCATCCCCTGGCCACTGTCCCTCCCACCATGGGTGACACTGTTACTTATTATGTGCATATTCTTCCAGAGTTATTTTATGCTTTCCCAAGCAAATATGACATATATTCTGTCTGCCCTGTTCCTTGCATTAACACACCAGGTAAGTACCTTCTGCATTTTGCTTTCTCCATTGACAATGTATCTTGGTGATCTTTCCATCACTACGTTGGAGAGATGTCAAGTTATTTACTTAACAATCTCCTACTGACAGGCATTAGATTTTTCCCAAATGTTTGCAATTACAAGCAATGCTGTAACTTTGGCCACACGAGGAGGGATCCAGTGACAGGTAGGCAGAGCAAGAACCCTGGTGTGACACAGTCTGGGTTGTTTGAATCCTGACTCTACTAGCTGTGTGACCTCAGGCAGATCACTTAATCTCTCTGTTCTTCAGTTTCCTCACCTGTAAAGTGAGGATAGCAGTAACAACATGTACCTTGTGGTGTCATCTGGGAGATGAAGTGATTTAATGATGGTAAACTACAGTGACTGGCATATAGGAGTTGCTACATAAGTGTATGTTAAGTAAAACCTAATGAGCATATCATTTCTTATATGTGTAAGTATATCTGTGGGCTATATTCCTAGGAGTGGAATTGTGGATTAGAAGGAATGTGAATTGTCATTTTGATAGACACTGTCAAATTTGCCCTCCGTGAGGTCAGGTCACTTCACACTCCTAACAGTGAAGTAGCAACATGCCTGCTCCATGCCAGCCTTGCATCACCGATCTGATAACTCAGAAGTTTACTTTGCAATTTTCTTATTGATGTGAGAAATGCAGCATCTTCTCCTACAGTAAAGAACTGGATACTTTTCTGATTTGATAAAATAGGAGCTAGAAGAAAACTTGATCAAGAATATGGTATAGACCATGGCAATTTGGATACATTTCTCTCTCCCTTTTCTTAGCCTTAAAGGTGGACATCTCTCTTTTCACTTTTTCTACCTAGGGAGTCTCTTTGTTTTTTCTGCCTTCATAAAGCATACATTCCAGTGTATTAAAGTAAGTATTCCAGTGTATGGCATATACTTGAAGTGTAATTCTCTTTTTGTTATTTTTCCTATTATAAAAGAGGGACAATTATTAAACACTGAAATATATAAAAAAGAAAATAAAAATCACCTATAATTTGTTTGGCATATTTTCTCATTTTCTAGGCATATGTATTTTTGACATAGTTGAAATTACACAGTACACTGTTTTGTCCTTTTCTACACTTCAAATTATATCATGTTGATCACATTCAGAAATTATTGATTTTCCTGTTTATTGTCTTCTTCCCTTTCTCAGACCAGAGGTGTTAGGTGGGCAGGGAATGTGCCTTTCTTTTGATGTGTTGGCATCAGTGGGTAGCAAGTTCCTGGCAAGTTGCAGGTGCTCAATAAATGTTTCTTAAAGTAATGAATGCATAGCTTACAACACCATTTTTTTGGCAGCATAAATTTCATGGCACAAACATAAACCACTTATTCACCCAATCTCTTATGATAAGTTATAACAGGACATTTGTTCCAGTTTCCTTTTGATTTTTACATTTTTAAATGATTTTTCGAGAAATACCATTTGCTGCAATCTGAACTATTTCCTCTGGATAGATTCCCCAAGGAGGGGAAGACACTGTGAAGGTTCTTAACACATAATACCAAGTGACTCCTTCACAGTGTTTGGCTTGACTCAAGAAACAGCCAGATGAGAGATCACAGGTCACCTGGGGGGAGCAGTCGCCTCAGCAGAATCCCACCTGGTATACAGTCCCTTCCCCACCCCTCTCCAGCCTCTGTTGAAGTGTCAGAGGGATCAGATATCAGTGAGTTAGCCTCACAGACTGAAGCAGAGATGCAGGAAGCCACCACTTCTAGACTCTAGTCTTCAGAGTGGTCCTCTGCTCTGGGCAAGTCAACACTCACCCTTTACTAGAACAGCCAGCCCACAGTAGGACCATGTTCCCAGTGCCAGCTCCCACCATGCTCACCATTCCTGGAGTCTGCCCTCACTTTAGGCACATGCAACACAAGGGTGTGGCAGAGCCAGGAAGAAGTAAAGGAACACCTCTAGGGCTATGCCAGGCCAGAGGCAGAGCCCACACTCAATGGAACTGCCATCCAAACGCAGGGGCACTTTAGAGGGCCAGCTTGCTTTGGACAAAGCATTTAACAAGTGGGAGCCATTTACTATTCAAGATACTCAGCATGCCTGTTAAGTTCACCCTTACAGAAACCCAACTAGTACTATTAATTCCTTAATTTCCAGGACAGGCTCTTAAAAGATGTGCAAGTCCAGATTCTGTGGCTTTCTCTCTTTCAGTTTCCTGGGGCTGTAGAAGAAAGAAGGGCAAGGATCATGGGAAGATGGCGGCATGAGTAGTTCAGAGGAAATCTCCTCCCCAAAACATATATATTTATGAAAATACAATAAATACAACTACTCCTAAAAGAGACACCAGTGGATGCAGTACAACAGCCAGGATACA